CATCCTTATTTAAAATTCCTTCTTGTTTAAACCAGCTCCAGAGGTTTTCATTACTTGCATCTAGAAGACTCCTAACTCACATAAAAGCCACATAAATGTCAGCAACCTTGAATTTAAAGTAATGTAAAAACTAGTGAACTTTCTTTCCAAACTTGGAAAGGCAAAGTAACCAAATTCCATTATTTCCCCCCACAAAACCTTATTTATAATGTTGGCTTTTTGACTTAAAAAACATCAGAGATCATAAAAAAAAATAGCAGGGACATTAAGAGTAATTTAAGAATAAACCTTGAGTGGGGGAATAAGTCCTCTCCCTAAAACAAAACAATAAAACAGCACATATTTTTATTCATTTTATAGGAGGTAAAAGAAGAAAAACTTTCAATTGAGTTATTTAAGGGGTTGTTCATTTGAGCTGTCTTTGGAACAGTTCATTCTTTGTAAAAGCAAACACTTAGAAAGTCAGCTATTTGCCTTCTATCTTAAAAACATTTTTTAAATGTCTGTAATTTCCCAGAATGTGCAGAAATGCCTTTTCATTTAATAAGCACTCCTCAAGTGCCTACTGCACACAGTCCCCTTCAATTTCCAGAACAAAATAGGAAGCAATTGACAATGTCATACTGTGAAACTTTCCCACCTGGCAAATGAATGGGCCAGTTTATCTGCACCCAGGCATGTTTGCATAACTGGGCTGCCTTAAATGTAAGAGACAGATGCTAAGAACAAAAATAGCCAAACATTGCTTTTTGAGCGCCTCTTCTTTTATATTTGGTAATTGCAATGGCTGATATGAAGGAAGCATAAGGGGAGGGAAGTGAACAGGAGGTGGTAGCATATATTAATAAAAATTTGTGCCCCTCCCCCATTTTAATAAAGAATTATGGAGAGCAGCTCTTTACTGATGTTGGTTCCTTTCCCTTCTGGGCATCTGAAGATCTGGATCAAATCTGCTCCTGTGAGCCAGTGAGAAGGGAAGGCTTCATTGCCACTGTCGGAAAAAGGACAGCTAGCAATTCCCAGAGACACGTGAGGAATTTTGTACATGTTTCATGGTGGAACAGCACTTAAAAGAATATCCCCAAGTATAATGATTTCACCCTCAGAAATGTCTGCAATTCTACTTAGGTGCCTGTTTTTCTTAGCGGCCACTGTGCTGTTGGCAGCATATTTCTGTTTTTTCCTTCTCAGAACAGACCGTTGATTGTTGGTGTTGTTAGTGTCCATGAAAGCATAAGGCACAACGCTTGCCTTTCTTAAACTGACAAGGCATAAAGAACAGGGCAGTTACTACAAAGTTCTATTTACTAAGTGGAAGGGAGAATCTGGCATCTTATTACTGAATGTGTTGCCTACGATAGGGCAGGGACCCTGGGCCCCGGATGTGGAAGGCGTGCTGCTCATCTCCTTTGAGAGATCCCGTCAGTTTGCTCTGATATTTTGAGCGCTCTCCATGTCTTGGGCGCCAGGTCCAGCACGGGCTCTGAGTAGCTGAGCTGCCCTGCATGCTGGCTGTGCTGGGAGGCTCACCGTTTCCTTAGGGTCACCAGCCCTGCCCCCATCTTCAACCCTAAGCACCTCTTACCTTCTACTCTCAATCTCTCCACCTCTCTCATTCCCTCTTTTCCTCTGCTCTCTTTCCCCATCCTCTGCTTTCCCCCACTGCTTTTCTTTGGTTCCTTCCATTTTTCTGTTCCTGTAGTGCTGAGGGGCAGGAATAAGAGGAAGGGGTGTTTTTCTCTGCCTTTTGCTACTGCCTGCTTGTGGGAAGATCATTCCATTTCTTGAACCTCAGTTCTAAGACTCTGGAGTCAAAATAGCTGTTGGTGAGGATTATAGGAGCTAGTTTATATTTATAACCATTAACTATTCAAGAGCTACCCAAGTGAAATAGTGTTATTAATAAAGTCATACAGACAACTATGAAATGTCACTGCCTTTAATTTGCTGCCTGGAGAGGGAAAGGAGAGACACAGGAGCGGGAATCCAAAGTCCCTTTAGGAACAATGTGTGACTTTATGTCTTAGTAATGGCTAGCTGTGGCCCAAAGTCAATTACACGTACCTTTGTACCAGCTGCCTGTTTGAATTTGTTCCTTCCTCTCCGAGCTCAGAAGCTAGCCCCCTGTGACAGCCTGCTCGGTGTGCATTTCAGGTTTCTGCTTTGCTGGTGTTTTCCTTCCCCTCACACACTTTGCCCTCATGGCCCACTGCAAGCTGGAAGCAGCGTAGGGGAAGCCAGTACTGAAAGAGCCTGTGTACTGTCTGAGGATGGTGATGCCGTGGACCCTGCCAGCAGAGGGTCAGCAGGGCACAGTTTTCCAAAACTGGTACCTCTCCCCTCTGGTACCCTTTTCAGAATGTGGGCTTGAGTTTACAGAGTTTTTGATTCTGCAATATCATTCACTCTGCCTCCATTCATCTAGCTTCTTGTGACCTTTATCACAGTCTCTTATTTGTAAATACCAACTTTACTGAGATATAATTCACATACCATACAATTCACCCTTTAAAATACAATTCAGTGACTTTTAGGACATTTGTGGAGTTGTGCCAAGATCACCACAATCCAATTTTAGAACATTTTCTTCACCCCAAAAAGAAAGCCATACCCTTTAGTGGTCACTGCACTTCTCTCCCCGACCAAGCTCTGGCAATCACTAATTTACTTTCCATCTCTATGGATTTGCCTATTCTGGATGTTTCATAGAAATGGAATAATATAATATGTGGCCTTTTGTGACTGGCTTCACTTAGCACAATGTTTTTGAGGTTCATCATATTGTAGCAGGTGTCAGACTTCATTCCTTTTACGTTGAATAATGCTCCAATGAATGGATGTATGTCTGGCTACCTGATCATCAGCTGATGAACATTTGGGTTATTTCCACTTATGGCTATTGTGAATAATGATGATACCAACCAACCTTCGAGTATTGGTTTTTGTGTGGACATTTTGTTTCACTTCTCTTAGGTTTATACCTAGGACAGGAATTACCTGGTCATGTGTAACTCTAACTTTCTGAGGAACTGCTAAACCGTTTTTCCAAAGTAGCTGCACTGTTTTACATTCCCACCAGCAATGTAGGATGGTTCTGGTTTCTCCAGATTCTCACTTCACATTTTATTTTATGAGTCATCTCTGCATGCATATTACTCTCCTCAGATTTAAGCTCCCAATGGGCCCTTAACTGCCCTAAGATTGTCAGAATAGCAACCACAGCACATGGCATATTCTGAATAAATCTCACCTGCTACTGGATATACTTTTTATTACAATCAGTTAACAGTTCTTACTAAATTAGGATAAGCCAACTTTGAGAAAAAATACAGGCCTAATTTCACGTTTTAAGAACTGTACACATTAACAGAGCTGCCATTTATTGGATGCTTACTGAATTCTTACCATATATGACCTCATTTTTCAGATGAAGCCACAAATTCAGGCAAATTGTCCAAGTAATTAACGACAAAACGGAAATTCAGAACCGAGTTTTCATGGTACCACTTGTCCTACATGGTGAAGGAATTCTGTTTTGCAGGAAGAGAGGGGGAAAAGTTACTTTTATTTGAGGACCTCAGCTTTCCTTCTGTAAACTCCCCAAAGGCAAGGACCAATGTTTTCCTTCTTTTGTTATCTGCTATTGCACACAGCATATACTGAAATTCAAAAAATTACTTCAGATTATATAAATATCGAAAAATGATATAATGACTAATAAGCTGAAGTATGACGGAAGCAAGGTATCGTCATGGTCTAATTCAATCTTTATTTGCGACTCTATGTGATAATACACGGTAAGCGTCTAACCCGTTGCAATGGCCACCGAGTCGAAGGCAGCACTGGATGGATCACGCTTAAATTCCCACAAGTTGACGCAGGTGCCTCAAGGTGTCACGCATGGGAACCACAGAAGCGAGGCCTCTGCGGCTACCATCCGGGCGCCCCAGACCCCATCTCGCGCCATTCAGCCGGCACCAGTCCTCAGAAAAGCGGAACCGGCTGAACAGGCCCCTGCCCGTAACAAACAGGGCCACCCCAGGGCTTCAGGCTGAAGGCGGCCGAATAGGGATGACGTAAAAATAATCTCTTTCTCTTATTGGCTTTGTTTCCTGGGAGGGCGGGAGACAACAACACTGCGGAGGCCGGCCTTAAAGGGCCCTCCTCCGCTGAGGCTTCCCGAGCTCCGCCCCGCGCTGGGCGCGCGGGAACGGCGCCGGAGGCCGCGTCTCCGGAGCCTTGGTGACCGCGGCGGCCGGCGACGCGAGCCCGAAGGGGTTAACCGGAGCCGGCGGACGGGAGAGCGCCGGGCTCCCGCGCGCGAGCCCGGCTCAGCCGGCGGGGACGCGCGGGCGCGGGGATGGAGGACGGCGCGGCCGGGTCCCCGCTCCGGGAAGCGGCCGACGCGGCTGAAGCGCGAGCGCGGCCCGGGGCCACCCTGCGACCCTTCGCGCCGTTCTCGGGGGCAGCCGAGGCCGACGAGGGCGGCGGCGACTGGAGCTTCATCGACTGTGCGATGGAGGAGGTGGACCTGCAGGACCTGCCCAGCGCCACCATCGCCTGCCACCTGGACCCGCGCGTGTTCGTGGACGGCCTGTGCCGGGTGAGAAGGTGCCTCAAGGTGTCACGCATGGGAACCACAGAAGCGAGGCCTCTGCGGCTACCATCCGGGCGCCCCAGACCCCATCTCGCGCCATTCAGCCGGCACCAGTCCTCAGAAAAGCGGAACCGGCTGAACAGGCCCCTGCCCGTAACAAACAGGGCCACCCCAGGGCTTCAGGCTGAAGGCGGCCGAATAGGGATGACGTAAAAATAATCTCTTTCTCTTATTGGCTTTGTTTCCTGGGAGGGCGGGAGACAACAACACTGCGGAGGCCGGCCTTAAAGGGCCCTCCTCCGCTGAGGCTTCCCGAGCTCCGCCCCGCGCTGGGCGCGCGGGAACGGCGCCGGAGGCCGCGTCTCCGGAGCCTTGGTGACCGCGGCGGCCGGCGACGCGAGCCCGAAGGGGTTAACCGGAGCCGGCGGACGGGAGAGCGCCGGGCTCCCGCGCGCGAGCCCGGCTCAGCCGGCGGGGACGCGCGGGCGCGGGGATGGAGGACGGCGCGGCCGGGTCCCCGCTCCGGGAAGCGGCCGACGCGGCTGAAGCGCGAGCGCGGCCCGGGGCCACCCTGCGACCCTTCGCGCCGTTCTCGGGGGCAGCCGAGGCCGACGAGGGCGGCGGCGACTGGAGCTTCATCGACTGTGCGATGGAGGAGGTGGACCTGCAGGACCTGCCCAGCGCCACCATCGCCTGCCACCTGGACCCGCGCGTGTTCGTGGACGGCCTGTGCCGGGTGAGCCCGGGCCGGGCGGGCCGTCGGGAGGCGGGCGGACACTTGTTGCCCAGAGGAGGCGGCGCGGCGCGGGGCGCAGCGCAGCGCCTCGGTCCCGGCCGGCCCAAGGCAGCTTCTCCAGCCCGGGCCGCCGGCGGAGCGCAGAGGCGACCGCCGGGGACGCAGCGACGTCCCCGGCCGCCCCGCCGCGGGTACCCCTCCAGTCCGGATTGGGTGGGAGCCTCGGCTGGGGCGGGGGCGCGCTCCCCGGGGTCCCGATGCCAGAGCACCTGCCCGGACGCCTGCGCAGCCCGCCCGAGGGGAGCGCCTGGCCTTTGATCAGGGCTGGTAACCGTCTCCCAGCGACGCCCCTGCCCCGTTGTCTATTCGGGCAGGGAGGGGGACTAAGTAGGAGACAGTCAAGGGATGAATTAGCACCCGGAGTGGCCAGGAGCTCTGCACCGCCGCCTCTGGGGCGTTTACTGCCCTGCATTTACTCATTTGAGGGGGATTGGGGGTGGGAGTGGGTCTCGCCCCATTCACAGGGATAAGGAAACAGACATTGAACGGCGACTTGATTCGCTGCCCATAAATAGTACGACGTCCTGCATTCTTAATCTGCACTATTGGAAGAAAAGCCAATGTTTGGGTGAAGATTCGTGGTTGCTCATTATCCTCCGGTTGGCCAGTTTTGGTTGAATGGTGTTGGGGGAAAGGGGCCCATTTTCTAGGACTTTAGGATATTTAGTCAAGAATTTTGATCTCAGAAGGGGTGACATGCCACCACCGGGGACACTGAGTACATTGGGAGTTGTTTTTTTTTTTCTTTTTAACTTTCCAAGCCATTTTAAATACTTTGAAGCTGAGGGGCCGAATATGAGTAGAATGGTGATGATGGAGAGAAGGAATTTATTTCAAATCTGCAATTAATGTGCAGAATAAATTTGGACAATGTAGGCGTTGCAGGATAAAGCCTGTCTTTGAGAGATACGCCTCATTCAGAGAGCAGCTATCAAAAAAAGTGACGCTTTCTGGGCTTGGCTCTGGGTCTGCAAATACTGTCAATGAACTGTAGTTGAAGTGTGCAGCCAAGAGGAACACCACTATGGAACCAAGAGTGGTGCCCATTTATTTATAATTCATATCCCCATCTACTTTCAGAAATGATTGCAATGTCTGCTTGCTTAGGTAAGCTTCTGTGCATGCTTTCTAAAGCAATGATTGTCAAAAATCCGGGGTCAAACTCATCTTACTGAGGCCCAGGTCTAGCCAGCATTTCAAGTTTCTATCTTAGGGGGGCCTAGGCTCTTTCTAATGGAACAAGGTCAGGTCATGTAAGTCTGTGATGATGCTGGGGTGTCTAACAATTCATTGTTCTATAGTCTTCCCAGTAAGTGTTGGGGACAATCCTGAAATTGCTTTGTATGAAATTTTGCACACTAGCTATTCATTTTAACAAATGTTTATTGAGACTACTGTGGGCCAGGCATTGTTGTAGGCTCTGCAGGCCCATCAGTGAGTAAAACAACGTTCCTGCCTTCAGGGCTGACTTTTTTGTCCCCCAGAGGGAGTGACAGTCTAGGAGGGCAGGAAGGTTGTAGTTTTACATTAAGAGGATCATGGAAGGTCTTAATAACAAGGTCATGTTTTGAGCAGAGACAGTGGACTAGCATTCATTCATTCACCTTTCTTTAGGTGTTTATTGAATGCTTACATGCTCCCAGCACTGTTTCAGGCACAGTGGATAGAGATTTGAACATTATGAGCTTCTGTTCTAGTGGTGAGGAGAAAACAATAGGCAGTTAAGTGAACAAGGTAATTTCAGAGTAGGAATAAGTGCAGTGGAGAAAATACAACAGGATAATGTGATAGAGGGTCACCAAGGAGGGGAGATGGGCTGGGTAGTAGTATCAATCGGGTCCTAACAGGGACACTGTAGGGTTCAAGAGGTTTTAATGAAGAACCCATTCATTGGGGGCAGGACTGAGGCAATCACAAGGGGTGTGGGCTGGAGGGGAGAATGTAGTATTGGTAGAACCCTAGCAGAGGAGCTGCCTAGCAGCAGCTGCACACGAAAAAATACAGAATTGAGATGTGACTCAGGGTGTGGTAAAGAGGGCTTTAGATTGAGTGGCCCCAGAAGGCTTGTCTGCACAGCTTGGCCTTGGCTGACAGAAAGAAGCTCCTGGTACGGATTTGTGTGGCTAGCCTCCAGGCAGAGGGAATAGCAAATGCACAAGCTCCTGTGCAGGAATAAGCTGTGCATTCACAGGGCGCAAAGCTGCCTGCTGGGTAGTGAGAGGTAATCAGTGAGGGGCCTTGGAAGCCCTGTAGGGATTTAGATGTTATTCTAATTGCAAAGCTGGTTGGAGAATGTCTTTTGGGGAAGGACGTTGGGTGGATAAGAGAGGAAGCAAGGAGGGCCTGTAGAAGGCTCTTGACTTCAGCTATCTTGGGGGCTATGGAAGTGTTCAGACTTGGGTGGTGGTGCTGGAGATGGAGGAAGAGGACTGAGCCTCTCCTCTGGGAGGGTCAGGAGCTTCAGAATGGGGGCAGGGGAACTTGGTTCCTTGGTTGCCCATCCATAGGGTCCTGCAAGATGTAAAACAATCAGCAAAAACACAAAAACCCACTGGGCTAAGGGAGTTCCAGCCACTGAAGGCAAACAGCTCTGTGAAACAAGGCAATGAGATCAGAAATCACTGCAGGCCTTTGGGACGCCTTTCTGTGAACTATAGTTTGTTATTTAGCTAAAACCATCCTTCACGGTGGGAAGATGAGGCTTCTGAGGTTTCAGTCTGACAGTGTTATTATTGTAAAGGCCATTCTTCCTTAAGGCTGGTGTGTCACCTTTGGTGGTGTAACGAGAATGTGATTCCACTTCAGGTTGCGGGTGTCTGACACTTGAATAGGTGGCTCACTGGCAGCACTGCTGACAGAAGTCCCTGGGCTGGTGGTCTGGCCTCCCTTCTCCTTAATCAGTCTGCTGGAGGGTCACCTGGGTGAGTGATGGTGTCTCAGCCCGTCAGGGCAGCAAACACCACCGACTGGGTAGCTTATAAACAACAGGCATTTCTCTCCCAGTTCTGTAGGCCAGCATGGTCGGGTGGGCCTCTTACAGGTTGCAGACTTCTCAGGTGTCTTTTTCCCTGTAGAAGGGGTGAGGAAGTTGTGTGTGGGGGGGAATTTCTGATCAGGACACTAATCCCACTGTGAGGGTCCCACCCTCATGACCTAATCTCCTCCCAAAGGCCCCTCCTGACAGTACCTTCACGTTTGAAGGTTAAGATGTCAACATATGAATTTGGTGGGAACACAAACACTCAGACCATGGCAGAGAGTGTGAAGGAAAAAGACTGTCAAACTTCTTTACATGTGTTCATATTTTTCTCTAAACTTAGTCTTAAAGTAAAGAAAGAAATTGACCTGGACTACCGATTAATTTGGGAATTTACCTCGGAAGCCATCTTTCTAGCTGTAACAGTGGGGTCTGATAGGTAAAATTTGTTTTTGTTAGCTGGGTCATCACTAATATAAACTTATAATGAATATGTTCAGTAAATGTTTATCTAATAAATAACTGAGATTGTATCATTAATTTCAAGTACTGTTATTGGATTCATACCATTACAAATGAATGAAAATTTTTATTAAAATATGATTTTTTTGTGTGCTGCAGACATTTGCCTAGCATATTCCATCACCATACTCTTTTGGAAACCTTTCTTCTAACTGAGCAAGCCCAGCAATGTCTGAACCAGTGCCTGCATGTGACATGGGATTGCTTGCAGTGGTTCGTTGGTTCCCTAGAATAAGAGTTTACTCAGTTATCACGAAGCTAACCAGAAGTTTGAGAGTTCTGAAATAATATTCTTTAGTTTCCAAGTCAGTTAATGTAGTTCAATACAGTAATGGAAATAAATATAATTTTTTCTGCTGTCATATTTTTTGTTTCATATTCATGAAACATGAATATATATTTGATTAATGAAGCTTTGCCTGAAGGCTAAGTCAGAAAATGCTAATCACAGAAGAATTTACTCTTCTCTAGTGAATAAACTCACTTTTCTTAAAACAAAGGCCCCCTTCAGATTTGTGATACTGCCATGACTTTTTTTTAATAACATGAAATAGTCTGATAGACATAAGAGGGATTTGAGGATGTCTGAGTTCTTTGTGTCAGTGAAGACCCCTGAGCAGTTTGTACTTTAGCTGCACATTAGCATCCCTGAGGAGCTTTAAGAACTCCCCTGCCCAGCCTGTTCCAGATCACTTCCAGTCTCAGGGGCTGGGAAACCCCTGGAAAGCTCCCCAGGTGGTTCCAGTTGAGAGTCAAGGTTAAGAACCATTGTCCAAGCCAGAGAGGGTTTTGTCTGACCAGAGGCACTGCTGTACTATGAAAAGACCATTGACTTGACGATCGGGTTCCATTTTGAGGCAGATCTGTGCCTTGATTTCCTTGAGTCTCAAATGGGAGTCAGGCTCTTGGTCTGGCACCTGCCTCCTAAGTGGCATTTGACCTTGTAGCTGGAGAGCAGGCTGACTGCTTGTCAGCCCCCTACAGCCTCAGCCCTGGGCAGGTAACTCAGGAGATAAGAGCATTTACTTTAACCTGGGGCCCTTGGCCTTTGCGTACATCCCTCTCATGCTGCCCCTTACTGTCCACCCAAATGTCAGATCCCAGACTTACCCTCCCAAGATATCATTCAATAGTAATTTGATGATCAAAATGACTTTAAGATCTCTGGTGGCATAACTGATGTGCATAGTTTCCACTCATGAGGAGGTTGTATATACTTGGCTGTGTTTCTGCCTGTTCCTATTACAAGTCAGTCCAGGCAACATGCTGTAAAATGTGCCATTCCAGTGGATAGTAAAAACTACCCTTCATTACAGTGTAAAATCCAGGCATCTTTAGGCCATTTTCGCTTTTCACGCTAGAGTCATAGGCATGCAGTTTCTCAGACTTAATTAAGCTTTAAATTTTCTCTTAAACCTCTTCAAAAGCAGAGATATTAAAC